ATAAAGGGAGAGAAAAGTGTATATACAAATACAAATACAAATACATATATTTTCGTCCTATACACTTATAATTATACAAATACAAATCTTATTATACAAATTATAATGTATAAATGAATTTATACAAAACAGAACAATTTGTATAAAATTTGATATATCTAGCGAATTATACAAATCAAAAGCTCCATAGAATTATTCAAACTATAGCTATAACGTACAAATATAATTTTTATGTTTGCTATATATGAAAGTTGCTCAAATAAAAACACACTTCAAATAAAGCCCAATCCAATCACCCAATTAAGTCCGCTAAAAGATCCGGGTCCAGTTATAAAATTGTCGGGTCGGTTCATATAATTACGCCACCCTTCAACGCCCTTTCTAGCTGCAAATATTTGGGTTTTTAGGGTTCTTACAATTTCTTGATTTTGTATTCATTGATTGAAGAATCACGATGTTATTATCGTATCGGCGTCGTAGCCCAGGTTCTTTTCCTTCTTCATTTTCATTTATTTAATTCTAATTTGTTCCAAGAACTTGCAGTTTGATGAGATTATATTGTTAAACTGTTATTCATTTTGTTTTTTGATATCTCCCTTATGTGTTTTTTCTTTTCGATGAGAACTCTCAAACGAACTGATCTAAATTACGTTGAATTTGATGAAATTCACTTTATTTTCCCTTTTGAACTGTAGTTTTAGTAATTTTGTTTTAAGGGACATTGTTGTAGTGGTAAGAGCGAGAGTGTGTGTAAGGAGAACAGATTGGTTTAGATCCTGCTCTAGATTAAAACATGATTTAAGTGGAGCGGAGAATGGTAAAAGGGACACCACTGTCCTTGGGTGTTTCTTGGTTATGGGAGTTGGACAATTTTAGTCGTTCATATATACGGCATGAAAAAATGATGCTTAATGTATGGAAAAAAGTGATCATTTTAGTTCTTCATATATACATGTAACCGAAATAGTACTTTTTGTACATATGAAGGACTAAAATGATGACCAACTTAAGGCTTTGGTTGATTTTGGATTATAAGCACGTTTAATGTTTACCAAATGCTTAGATAAGGTAGAAAGTGCTTATAAGCCAGTTTGACCAGCTTATAAGCTTAGCCAAACACTCTCTAATGTCTGCCGCTTCACCATATCAACTACTGCTATCTATGAATCAGAAATGGTAAGTACATGTACAACCTTCTCTACCTATGTTTCTTTTGGGTCATGGCACTCTCCATTATCTATTGGCTTTCTATGGCTTTTGGGGTGCTAAGGAGTTGTGCTCAACATGAAGGGTTGGTGATAAATAAAAGTTAATTTCTCAACTCATTCATATTTTTTTAAAATTCTGCACTATTTATCTATATATGTCAACAACATCCTTTTAATGAATGTTGATTTAATAGTCTAGATAGCTTTTCCAGAGACGAAGTTAAATTTTATTGTTTATAAATTTTTTATGTATAGATGGTTATTATGTTTGTACCGAAAGAGTAGTCACTTTAGTACTTTTTGTAGATGTATGCTGCTCATCTTTGTTGTTCTATTAAATTATTTTTTCGCTTGGATTCACAGATCTGTCTGTTTGAAACTGTGGCAATATGGAGGCAATGTTGGAAGGTAATGGAGCCAAGTCTTATCTAAGGCCAGAATTTTTATTTTTATATGGTTGATTGTTAAAGCACGAGAACCCTGTACGTAATACTCATAAAATCCGAAATATGCTTCAACAATGTTCTTACATACATAGTTTAATAGGGAAAGAGATAGCAGGGACCAGTGAGTGAACTGTGAGTACTGTTCAAAAAAGGAAGAGTTATATAAAAAAACACTTACCTTTTATGGCGCTATTCCTTGAAGTTTTTCAATTACCTTCTATAGCTTAGGGCCTTGAATTGGAAAATTTTGACACATGGATTAGAACTCATATCGACATTCTTAATTTGAAAACAGAGAAAAGATGAACTGAAACGTGGAAACTTGTCCATATGAAAAATTCCTTCTTCAACATGTAGTGCATGTGTTTCTTAATCTCCATGTGCATGGTAATATTTGCTAGTGGGTGGTAAACTATCATATACATCTATTTGCATTAGGGTGGTGATTCAGTTTTCCAGGCAAGTGGTGTAATGAAATTCATGGCAAATGTTCAGTGCCTGAAATGAATACGTACACGTGTTCTTGTTGTCCTCATCTTTCTTTGTCATAAGCAAAATTATTGAGCTCATCTATACTACTTATTGTGCCCCAACCTCTGTAGTAACTACATCTCCCACTTTTTATCCTGTTATCACTTATTACCGGTTCTTTTAAAAAAAGAGTGCCTAGAAAATAAATTCACTAAAAATTGTTGCTATTTTTGGAAGTGTAACTTATGAATGTGTAAAGTATTGTGTAAACGTTTAATACTTTGATATCATAGTTTAGATTTGCAACACGCTCTCTGTTGTGTCTTTTTATTGGACCAGTAATGTGAAAATATTCTCTTAATTGTGATGGTGAGGTTCGAACCCAGAATTAGTGTTTGTTATGATATACTTGATATGCTCTGATATCATATTGATGTCTTTAAGTTGTTGTTTGAATTGTGTGGTTGCCTAGTCTAAAACCTTAAAGTTCATGAGAAGGAACATATTTATCTGTTAGGTTTTAGGGCTACACCAGTTAATAAACAGAAATTATTTTGAACTGTCACAAAAATGACAGAGTGTGCCATGGTAGCTGGTCGGGTAATGTTCATAACCTTTGAATGATCCATCAATACTGAAATGTCCCTTTTGAAGCTTTCTCGCTTGGATTTATTACTTTATTTCCCGAGAGATTTAAAGAATGTATAACCTCTCTATCTCCATGAGTTAGGGGTAAGGGGTAAGGTTTGTGTACACTCTACCCTTCCCAGACCCTAGTTTGTGGGATTTTACTGGTTATGTTGTTGTATTGGGTAGTTCGATATTCCGTTGGCTTCAGACTGTTTCAACTCCATAGCCTTGCAATCTACGTTTTTTGTAGTTGCTTCCCCTGGCACTGGTTTTGTATCTTGGTTTTGCAACAGTTCTATTTGGATAGTTGAAAATGAACAATGTGCTTATTGAGACTTCAATTACAAAGGTGTTTGGAATAATAAAGGCCTGTTTGTAACTGAACCTCTGTTGAAATAATCAAAGGAAAAAGAGAAGAAACTTCTGATAAAAAAAGCTCTATTTAGGATCCTTATACTATAGGATCAGAAGTTGCTTTATTGTTTAGGAGTAGTGCTACTTTCAGTTTCTGGAACCAATTAGATATCTCCTATGTAGTGTCCTTGCTATGCAGAACTATGTTTATCTGTGAGAAAGTTTGTATAACATGTGACGCCGTTGGTTGCTTAACATGTAGTGTCTTCTTAATCACAGGCTATGGGGGAATTCTTGGTCAGGTGATTGTTGCCTGTCATCAGTCACTTGCAAGTAAGTGTTTGTGGACATATGTCCACTTTGGAATAAAAGAAATAAAATTTGGGTTTTGCTGACTCCTACTTAAGCAAATAACAAATACATCACTCTTCAAATACACCAGCTTTTGATGTTTTTTTTTGCATGGAAAGCAAGTGCAAATGGAAATCATCTGTGGGAGCTAACTTTTGGACCTTCAGATTACAGTACAAAAGTATATTGAATTTCCGTGTGATGACTCAGTCATCCGGGGAAAATATGTGCTTGAGGTGGTGACATCTGGCGGTTAATGTCTCAACAATCAGTGCTTTTCAAGAAGCAATTCATCATACCTTGATCGAATCAGAGGCTAGAGAAATTCTTTGGTTCATGGAGCATCTAGCATGGGAGGAAGTGTTGCAGGTGTGTCTCATTGCATCCTGTTGTTTTTGGACTGGTATTGGAGTGCATTGCTCATGAATTCGTCTCTTTATCAATTTTTTTGAAGAGGTATAGTAACTCATCTGAGAGAAATGCAGAGACGTGGAATTATTAGATTTTCATCTTCAAATGAAGGTTCATAGAACCAAAGTAACTTTAGAAGCACTTCTCCAGAGTAAAGCACAGCTTCCAAATTAGATCTCCTTTTAGCTGTGCTTCTTCCAAGATTCTCCTTGTCTTTCAAGGGTACTATGTTGAGCAGATAGACACACCATATTTTCCAGTAAAAGTTTCCGTATGTATTTGTTTTCAATTTTTCCTGTGCATGCTGTACTGCACCTTAAGTACAGTATTAGTGAGTTGTGTTGAAACAATGAATACTATTTTTTATCACATTAAAATAACTTAACTTTATCCGGATTGAGAGTGCACTACCATGGATGATCATTTCTGCAGATTCTTCTGTTGGTATCAGTGTTCTAAGACCCCTGTTGAATCGTATTCTTCATGCCCAGCTGTCTCATCTAATGGAGAGTTCAGTCGTATGTGTTCCTTGTAGGATTAATACTCAAAAAACAGATAAGAAAAATAAATGAATCAGTAATTAAGAGGCTCTTGAAAACGAGAAAGAGGAGAGGTGAAGTAGGCTCAATCATAGTAGTGTTACTTTTCTAATTTTATGTTCTCTGATCAACAAAAAGTTGTTTTTATTTATAACAACAAAATAAATTTATTACTCTTTTCACTTTATCCTAGCTTAGAATTCTCTCTCCCGTAATGTTTCCATTAAAACCAAGAATCTCTGGTGAAAAAGAGTTATGATGGCATTTGGCTAGACATAGCCAAATAGCTCATACAACGAATTGAGACCAATCAATTAATGTTTAATCATTTTGTATACATTAAACAATAAAAATCTGTTGCTAAATTAGCGATGAATTTTGAAAAAAAAATAATTTACTTATGGGCTGTTTAACAAAAAATTAGCAACAAAATTCGTAACTAATTGATATCTTTTTTAGTAGCTAGCTTGCAAAACTTCAGTTGCAATTCATGTAAATTAAACAAATGACTACTTTACACAATATTTGTTGTTGCAGCATCCGCAGAAGATTGGTGAAAGGCTCTTGACAAGGTGATTCCCGCCGTCATAGTTCTCCGGACCAATGCTTGCCAAGCATTCAACACCGAGGCTGCTGGTGCAAGTTATGCTACGGGCTTCGCCGATTTTCTCTATGGTGCATATATAATACCTGCAATATAAGAAGGAAGAAGCAAAGAGAAAGGAGGAACCCCGATAATATGTATCTCAATTTTATACAGGTACATGACTGCATGCACTAGCTTTGTATTATTAATTGGTACTGCTTTTGGGAAGTACTAGAACTGGGGTTATGGGAATTTACTTTTAGCATTTTGACTCTGATGAATTGCTTATTTATATCATGATATAGAACGTGCCTCGAGTCTGAAATATTTAAACTAAACCAGAAGTCACTATCTTCAAGGCTCATAGTACATGTATATTGTGTAGAGTTCCAGTTTCTATGATCCCCATCATCCTCATACTTGGCCGAGGACACGCTATATCATAGATTAATTCTGCATCAACATATCTTAGTATATAGGCCTGTCCAGCAATACTGGCAACACAGGGAAAATGCGCCCTTCAAGTAATGTGACCAAAATGATCTCTTCAGACATTTTAACAGTAAATTAGTAACATTTCACAACATTCTCAATAATCTTTTTAAAAGGATTTTCGCACTATAATTTGACAGTCTTATGTTTTTTTGAAACCATGGCTCTTTTATAGCCATTATCAGTGCAAGATTGATGAAACTGACTTACAAGTATGTATCTCCGCAGCTCCACCCGTGGTTCTATGTATGCATAAGTATTTGCATACGTCTATTAGCTTTTAAGGTTTCTATACTCGTGAAACTTCTATATATCTTGATTGATATTTTTATTCTTCCAGACATCCTGTGGCCATAACTTACGTTTGAAGTGCTTCCAAAAATGGATTGGACAAGGCAAGGATACAAGAGTCAAATGCCGCAGTCAAATTAGTCGCCAAATGATTAATCAATCAACCACAAATAGACTCGGCACTGGTGACTGCATAAAAGTGATGCTTTTACAAGTCCTCAAGTAGCATGTCCTTAGGTAAGCACACACTTGTCTATGAGTTCAACCGAGCCCAATATCTTTAAAGTAAAAAATAATTCTTGGATCAACCTGTGTATACAGGTGAATCAAGAAGATCACCCTGACAGCCCGTTTATTAGGGAAGGTGCAGCAATATAAAAGAGCTGGAATGGATATTGCATCAAGCGGGAGGGTATTTGTGACACTGAGCCCCAATATTTTAACAGAAAAATTTAATTCTTGGATCCACCCTTGTATACTGGCGAATCAAATAGATCACCCTGATAACCCGTTTATTAGGGAAGGAGGGGCTATATAAAAGAGCTGGAATGGTTAATGCATCAAGTGGGAGGATATTTGTGACCATCCCTTCAGATCATTTCGGGCCAATATTGGTGGAGAATGATCTGGAGAGAAATCAAGGTGTTTTTGTTGGAGAATTGTGGACACATCACTTGAATTGCAGGAAATGGGGTGTGCATTGTCCCCATGTTACTGGAATTGCAGGACATGCAATCTATGGTGCTCTCAGGTGGTTATGAAGATGATGAGGATCATGGAGAATGGTTTCTCTACAGAGGAAAGTACGTGTTAATTATCCCTTCATAGATGAATTTTCAATATTTCTGGTTAGTTTTGAAGGTACTACTTCATACCGAGGCATGTACGTATAGGCTGATTGATAATATTTTGTACTTGAGAGTTTTTCATTATCAGATATTTACAGATAGACATTCATAAAAAATATGAACAATAACCTAGAAAAAAGTAGATTATATGCTACTCTCTCCGTCCCATTTTATATGTCATCCTTTTCTATAAATAGCTGAACCACAATACTTGTCATTTTATAAAATTTATGCATAAATTACCATATTTTGCCTACTATACCCTTGATAGAATAGTTAATTAATCTTGTCATTATTAATAAAGTTGACTTAAGAAAACATTAAATAATGGTAGAAGGGTAAAGTTACATCTTTTCTTAATGCAAGTGCAAAGTAAAAAGGTGACATATAAAATGGGACTGAGGGAGTACAACATATTAAAAACATCGAGTTAGTGTAAAAATTCTTTACCTTATAGTACATACACAAGTTAATTCCATTTTGTAAGAATTAATGTTAATTAGCACTAGAATGGTTTCCTTCACAAGGTCTAATTCCTCGGCATTCAATTGTAAGATTTTTTGTAACTTAGTAAGTTTGCAATATTTATGGTTTTGATTTCTACATAAGAACAACTTACCTAGTTTAACTCTTAGGAATCTTTCTAGTAGTTATGTATATACCCATCTAGTTAATTACATTTGACGAAGTTTAATTTCTATACCTTGACATGTTTTAAAGATCTGTATATTATTCTACCTAGTTGACAAAATCAGCTGACACAGTACAAAGAAGGGTCAGATCTAATAGGAAAAGAAATAAGGAGGTCAAGAAAGTACCTGTGGTCGCACTGTGAACTCCTGGCGGCTACCTTCATTAACTCCACACACTAGTAGACAACACATTACCTCCTAAGCGAGAACAAGGAAAATATCAGTGGCAATAAATGAACAAATCTGAGATAGAAGAGAAGAAAAAAGAAATACCTCTCAATATTGAATGCTCCCGTGTGAGCTCTGACATACAGAGAAGGAGAGGAGCAAGATGGAAACAAACAGATTAGGAACCAAAGTGTGAGGTTTCGGTGGCTGCCGGAGGGAAGCATCTGAAAGGTTAAGCTTAAAAAGGAAAGAGCGGAATAGGCGGAAGTTATTAGGTTTCCTCTCTTAATATAGATAGAGGGTTTGGTTTGGGTTGGGCCGTATTTTCTCCATCATAAACATTGTTGATAATTGATATACGGCCCAAAGCTTTATCTATAATTAGGATAGGAAACCAAATAACTTCCGCCTCTTTCGCTCTTTCCTTTTTTAGCTTAGCCTTCTAGATGCTTCCCTCCGGCATTCACCGAAACCTCACACTTTGATTCCTCATCTGGATTTGTTTCCATCTTTCTCCTTTCCTTCTCCGTATGTCACAGCTCACACGAGAGCATTCACTACTGAGATGTATTTCTTTTTTCTTCTCATTTATCTTAGATTTTGTTCATTTCTTGCCATTGATAATTTCTTTATTCTTGCTTTGGAGGTATGTGTTGTTCACCAGTGTGTGGAGGTAGCCGTCAAGAGTTCACAGTGCGACCACATGTACTTCCTTGACCTCTTTATTTCTTTTCTTGTATCCTTTTAGATCTGACCCTTCTTTGTATTTTGTCAACTATGTAGAATAATATACAGAAAAAACATCTGGAACATAAAGGGATACCCTTCTTCATCCAAGTTATCTTGTGTCAGCACTACTTCCTTAGCCAATAACCAAAAAAATCAAGCTACTTTGTGTGGGATTTTGTTTTTCCAAATGTGTTTCCAAGGCCATTGGAGTATCTGCTGGTTTGGTTGGTTCATCTGCCTAGAGGCTGCATTTACTTTAGAAGTCCCGTTACTATTTCGCTGCCACTATAGGATGTCTTGTTCCAGCCTTCAAACCACTGAATTGGTCGATGGTGCTGAAGAATTCTTAATGGTGATGATGATGGTGAAGTTCAAACCCGGATACTTTGCTTGCTTCTGACTCCTTATGACCCCATACTTTTTTGAAGGGTCGTCGGGACATGGGAGCCTCACGGATTTTATGTCTGTTATGATATACTCTGATATCATGTTGATAGGTGTGAACTGTCTCATTTAAAAGCTTAAGCCGTTGTTTGAGTTGTGTTGCCTAGTCTAAACGCTTAAGTTGCAAGTAAAGGAACATATTTATTTGTTAATTTTAGGTCTGCAACCGTTAATAAGAAGAAAATTGTTTTAAAATGTCGCAAAAATGACGAGTGTACCACGGTAGCTGGTGGGTAATGTTCAAAACCTCCAAATGATCCATCAATACTGAAAAAGCCTCATTTGAAGCTTTCTCACCTGAGTTTCCTACTTCATTCCCGAGAGATTTAAAGAATGTATTTCGATAGCTCGATATTCCTTTGGCTTCAAACAATTTCGACTCCATAGCCTTGCAATCTACTCTTTTCTACTTGCTTCCCATGGGCACCGGTCTAGGTAATGCATCAGTTAACGGCATCCATTTACTATCTTGGTTTTGCAATAGTTCTATTTGGATAGTTGAAGATGAATAATGTGTTTACTGAGACTCGTCCTGCAAACGTGCTTGGGAAAATAAATACCTGTAACTGTGCCTCTACTGAAATCGTCCAAGGGAAAAGAAAGAATTACTTCCGATTAAAAATAGAACGTTTTAGGATCATATTACTTTTGGGTTAGAAGTTGATTTGTAGTGCTACTTTCAGTTTTTGGAACCAATTAGATATAGTGTCCTAGCTACGCAGAACTAATTTATCTGTGAGAATATTTGTATTACATAAGATGCTGTTGGTGCTTAATGCGAGAATTCTTGGTCACATGATTGCTACAGGTTCTTTAATAATGTCTTTGCTCAGGCATGTCATCAGGTACTTGCAACTTGCAAGTAAGTGCTTGTGGACATTTTGAGGTGTTTTTGCATGGAAAACAAGTGAAAATGGAAATCATCTGCAGGAACAAGCTTTTGGACCTTCAAATTGCAGTACTAAGCATATAGAATTTTTGTATGATGACTTAGTTACACGGTTATTCTATGTGCTTCAAGCGGTGACGGCTTTATTACATGCCTTCAAATGTGTGATGTATTATGTAGATGTCTTTGATTAATGGCAGATGGCTCAACAATCGGTGCTGCTCAAGAAGCAATTCACAATATCACCGATCAAGCAATACCACAACCGAACCAGAGGCTAGGGAAATTCTTGGTTCACGGAGCCTTCACCATTGCATCCTGCTGTTTTTGGACTGGTATTGGAGTGCCTTGCTCATGAATTCGTCTCTTTATCAATTTTTTCGATGAGGTAATGTTACCCCATTTAAGGGAAATGCAAAGACTTGGGAGTTTTCATCTTCAAATGAAGGTTTACAAAAGCAAGGGAACTTTAGAAGCACTTCTCCAGAGCAAATTAAGCACTACATCTGAATTAGATTATTTTTTGTAAAGTTGTACTTCTGCTAGAGATTCTCCTGGTCTTTTAAGGAGTATATGTTGAGCAGAAAAGCACTGCCCGGTCACCGTATTTTTCCTGTACAAGTTTCCGTGTATATCTAAACCTTAAGTAGAAGCATGTTAGTTAATGATTTATGTAATTTTCATCACGTTTGGCGTCCTTTTGCTCAAACCCGTTCATCCCATCATTGTGTCAGGCACATTTGGCTATTGAAATCTAGTGAGTTGTGTTGAAGCAATGCCCCTGATATGGTGAAATAGATGACAACGGAACAATGAACGGCGAGGGCATTGAGAGTAAAAAGTAATGTCTCTTGGTAATTCGTCATTGAAAGTCTCTTGATCGAGTCCGTCAGGAATGATGAGAGGAGAAAGGGAGAAGCTGAGCTTGAGGAATAAGCCCACATCCGTCTTAAGGCATATAGTGGTAAAAACTTACTCGAGTGTTTACACCAACCCAATATTCGTTACGATAAGTTCTTACCTTGAAGCATTTTGTTGCACTTTAATCATTCTCGTGAAGAGGCGTGTTTCCCTATGAGGATGATAAAAAAAAAGTAGTGCTTAGGCTTTTAGGTAGATAGATAGATATGTAATGCAGTAAAGTTTGACAATATTATATAGGATATGGAATCTGATTGACTGTATCAAGTTTGAAATATTGAACCTTACATTAATCTTTAGAGGAAAGAAGAATTTTACCCTCTGCAGAATCTCTATCTTATCTGCTAGTAGTAGCAGGGACTCTTTATGTATTTTCAAGAAAGCAACAAAGTTAGTTGACTACTTGTTGTTTCTGTCTTCCACATTGCTACATGTTTTCACATTTAGTTATCAATAAACAGTATGATGAATTTATAATATCTCTAACTTTGAATGTTAAATTATTATAATATCTCTAACTTAGGTTGTGACTTTTTTAATGAGTTGTGACTTTTCCGATAATTGCGACTTTTTTCAAAGGATTGTGATTTTTCGATGAGTTGTGAATTTTTCAAATAGTTGTGATTTTTTCAACAAGTGGTGACTTTTCCAAAGAGTTGTGACTTTTTCAAAGTTTTGCGACTTCTGGAAAGGGTCATGATTTTTCAAATAAGACACAAAAAATATTTGTTTATACTACTCTTTGTTGACTATAAATAGAGTTACTTCTTCTCATTTTCCAACCACAATTTTTTCTAATCATCTACTCCTCTTCTTCTTGCATATTAATTTTTTTTGTGTAATTTATTATCGTTGAGTGAATTCAAAGTTTAGTGAAATATGAGGTACCACTATTCTGATGAAGTAAGTCGTTCTATCCTAAGAGGGTATATTTCATAACCTCGAGTACTTGAGGAAAATAATATAATTTTGATGATATAATAATTATTATTTTTTGCTTAATATATACATTAGTATGTAATGTTTCAATATATGAAGTTAATATGATGTAGTCTAAATTTATTTATTTTTGTTAATAATTTCTCTTATGATGTAGATATATGCTTTTGAATTTATTTTTCCAAAATTTAGAGAATTGTCACGATTTGTTTTTGATGCTCAAGACAAAAGAATGATTTTATTTATCAATGCTACTTATGTGGTTTAGACAAAAGAAAAATTGTTATTACTATTTAAACATTGCCCTTTTGTTTTACTTATTTACTATTTCTGAATATTTCAGTATTTTAGAAGAAAAGTTCATATGACTTGTAATAACGCCAGTTGAAGTTTGTATTAGTTGAATTTTTATTTTTTATTTAATAACTAATTTTATGAGATAAATATTTTCATTAATGCAAATATTTATTTATATTTGGGTAGGTGTATTTTAAAATGTTCCGAGTTCTTTTTTCTAAAAAGAAAACTCACCACAAATGTGAAAATATAAAATATAGTTGTTCTTTTCACATGTTCATATGACATCTAAACAATTTAATGTACAATACACATGCAAAGCACATCTGGTTAGATGACAACAAAAATACAAAACAAATATTGTCTATAAGGTAATATTAGTGAGATGAGACTAATTACATGATTGAACCTCATCAAATTGAAATAAATATATACATAATTGCATTTAACTAATAAAATTTTTCATTGACCATCTTCATAGGCTTGCGTGAATAAGAGATATATATGACGATCAATATTGAACATTTTCAAAAGAATCTGTAATATTTTTGCTAAGCTTATTATTCAAATCTTCGCTTAAATAAGCAAATATTATTTACTATAACATATATATTTAAAATTGGTAATTACGTGTCAAAAAATTAGTATATATAAAAGACAGTAGAAAAAAATGATAACTTAGGTGCGACGACATCTAGAGTTGTGAAGGCGAGTTAGAGCGTGTTAATTAAGTGAGATCGAAGTTGCATGTGGAAATACATGACATCTCAGACATACTCTTTGCAGTTTATAAGGCTATGAATATCTTCTTTAACGGAATGTGCAAGAGTGTAAGAGACGGATCAAAAGAAGTACTGATTAATAACCCTTTGGGGTGGTCCAGTGGTTTGAGCTTGGGATTTTCATGTTAGAGATCTCAAGTTCGACATTCCTTGTCTTTGAAAGCAAGGAGTTTGCCTTCTGGGTCGAGCTCATCACACCGGGCTTGCTTGGTGCGGGTTACCTCTCCTGTGTGGTTGGCGAGCTATTGCATAGAAGCAAATGTTTTACCATGTGCGCACCCAAAGAGTAGTGGCTGCAAATTTTCCTTGTCATAAAAAAAAATACTGATTGATAAAAAAATATTTACACCAATCGCTACTATTTAAAAGTAAAACGTATAAATTGAAAAATAAAGAGTTTCTAATAAAATAGTATTCACACCAGTCGATCCATAGTTCCGTATATTATTATAAGTAAGACATATAAAATGGAACATAAGAGTAACTAAGGAGGGGTTACTCCCTACAAGATTTTCTCTATATTCAGGCTCGAACCCAAAACTTCTGATTAAGGGTGAATCAGTCTCACTATTGCACCACTGAATATACCTTCTACTTACTACATTAGCAATTGTTAAAATACAATTTTGAATTTTGTTTGGATGATTGTTACACATTTATTTCATAAGGTATCGTATAATTTTAGTAAAATAAATTAGGTAACATCCCACCCATAAGTCAATTAAAGTTATGAATAATGATGATTCATGAACATTGTGCGGCGGTCGGTTTATGTGTTTTATTCACTCACTATTATACACATGATGAAAGCCGAAATCTATGACTTCTCAATTGTTTTTTTTTTCAACCTTTTCATATTTGTTCTAATCTTTATATATAAAAAAACCTAATTAATTAGTATAAGATACAGAGAATTTGCACAACTACGATTATTCACTTTACTTTCACTCTAATCTAAGCTTAGCTTTTTTTTTTTTGAACTAAAATATAGACATTGTTTTTTGAATAAAGCTTCATGATGACAATTCCATGCATGTTTTCATGCAAAAAAGGGAAGCTTAGATCATTATCTTTCAACTTTTGGAAATGCATGTCAAAAGGTGAGTTTCATTTTGGACTATACTAGATTCACAATAAAGAGTGTTTTTTCTGTCTTTTATTTCAGGCCTGAAGCATGTTCTTTTCCTTTTTTGGATAGAAACTAAAGTAGTAGTATTATATCGGGTTCGGAGTAAAAAAGGCAACTTTTTCTTTCAAAATGCAGAAATGGCTTTTGAATTATTTTTTCCTACGAAAATTGGACAATGAGATCCTTTCTTAATTTTAACATCGTTAGCGGCATCTAAAATTTGATCTTAGTACTTTCTCTGCTTTAATTCATGTGTCCATTGGTACGTTATTTAATTAGATACAAAATTTAAAATAAATTATTTTAGACTATGTATAGTGTTATTTTTGTTGGGAGAGTGAGAGAATTAAATCTCACATTGGAACTAGAAAGAAAAAGAACTTGTTTGTAAGGTGTTGGATAATTACTTGGCTATTCTTGATGGTGTGAGGTTTTCTATTTTAAAAAAAAATTGTGTTAATTTGGTCTAAATTAAATAATATCATACCGTGTTTAGAGCATTTTAATTGATCATTTAAAGATTGATGTACCTACCTTACATGTTTAGATGCAGAGAAAATTATTACTCTTAATTATTCAGTGTTTAAATTTAATTAAAGACAAGGAATTTTTAGTAATCAAATATATGTATTCATATTAACACATTTTAATCTTGGAAAAAGTTCAAAGTACGTAGCATTCACACTAGGAAAGTTCCTATGAGTAAAATTTTATTGAATAAGTATTTGCAAGTATTTTTATGTAAAAGGTACTTGCGCACATTCATAATCTAATTTTTTTTAAAAAGTTGCAAGAGAATTTAAGACTAGATTCCCTTCACTTAGCATCAACATTTAGCATTAATTAATTAATAGTAAGATTTAAGTGAAAGTGCGGCGTTCCACATATATAATACTATGCTTCTATAGTCTAAGTGAAAGGAATTAGGCATTAATTAGTCCACGCTAATTACTTGCGTGGGCCCTTCTTCTTAATTAATTACCTACCCTTGCCATGCAAAAGAAGCAATTAATTAATTACTAGCCAACTTAGTTCAGCTAGCTAGCTATAGCTACACATAATCAAAATTCTACTCGCTATGTATATATAGCTCCTTAAATTAATTAATTAGGCATCATTTTGCTCGAACTCTCCAATATTGTTATCGTAAACTTGTCAGAGTTCGATCATATCGATCGTGTATATATAGCTATCGTTTTAATAAAATGAACAAAACACACAATAAAAAATAAATATCATTATATTTATAATCCTTAAATTATAATTTCAATATAATTTATTTTCGAACCAAGCGATCCCTAGCTATACACATATTTCATAGATTAGGGAGGAGTAAAGATATAATTGAAGATTAAACTTAGTCCTTAAAACACATAAAATTCATATTTTCCCATTACTTCACCAATATATAGTTCATAAATCATAACAAGCAATAAACTGAAATACAAAAAATAAAATAAAATTGAAAGCCCCACAGTAAAACCACAAGATAGAGCTATTGCATAGGAGCGGGAGTTTTACCCTGTGCGCACCCAAAGGGTAGCGGCTGTGAATTTCCCTTGTGATAAAAAAAAATACAAGATATGTCTCTATCCCTTCTTAAATTAAGCTTATACCATTAGATCATAGACTGAGACAACACATATTTATTTATTTCCTCATATTCTCAACAATACTCATCACTTGCAAGCCTTATTCTTTTTCATGGTCCAAACACGTACATGGATGTTCATACTCAGGACCTTTAATTTGTTAGCTGGCTCTGATACCATCGTCATGCATATTGAAAGTTACTTTTCCTGCTTATATTCTTCCCAATTGCTTTCATCATGTTGAGGTCCACCACTTGAAGTAGAATTTCCAAAATGCGACCCAGAATATTTCATAAAATCTTCTTCTTCATCTTCTTGATAATTATAATTAGTACTTACTTGTTGCTGCTCATCATAAACTGGCAATTCCACTGATGATTGTGAAATATCAAAAGACGATCCTGATGATGAATACTGATAACAAGTACTTGGTGAAACGTCGAAATTCAAATCAATATTATTGTCACTACGAAGTAACAAATCAGCATAGTGATGAACATTAGGGTAATTCTGTTCAAACGTATTATTTGATGACGTGGCAGGTGTAAATTGATGTTGATTAATGTATTGGAATTGTCCTTGAACTCTTTCAGGGAAATTGAGTTTAGCTTTGTTTCCTTTGAATCTAAGAGCAGCTTCATCATAAGCAAGTGCTGCACCTTCTGCTGTTTCAAAAGTACCAAGCCAAACCCTAGCTGCTTTTTTTGGGTCCCGAATTTCTGCTGCCCATTTACCCCATGGTCTTTGACGAACTCCTCTATACCGCCTTCTTTCTGAATTCCCTATGTACATAAATTATTATGAGATTAAGTGTCCGTTTGGATTGACTTATTTTAGGTGCTATTAAGCAGTTTGAAGTGTTTGGGTAAAGTTAAAAAGTGTTTATAATAAGCACTTAAAAATAAGCCATAAATTAGAAATCATAATTAACTTATGGCTTTTGGCTTATTAGTCATAAGCCAAAAGTTAATCCAAACAGGCCATAAATAACAAAGTTCACATGATAAACATCAAGCTTCTAGGTTCACTCATAAAAAATAATCAGGTCTGCACGTGAGGGGACAAGCAATAAAAATATTAAAGTAAATAAAAATATCTTCTCTAGAACAACTTAAATTTTTAGATGAGACAATATTCACATAGAAATAAGATCTTGTTCTTTTTTCTCCTTAAGCTATACTTTTTTTTTTTTTTTGGTTTCCCATCCGGTGTTCGAAGCCCACATTGGAGCTCCGACTAAATCCGGATCGCGCACTGCAAGGCCCATTCAGGGGTGGCGCTCCCAACAGGATTTTCTCCATACCCAGGGGCTCGAACCCGAGACCTCTGGTTAAGGGTGAAGCACTCCCATCAGTGCACCACAATCCATGTTGGTCTCCTTAAGCTATACATGGAAGATAATATATATACCTTGATCTTGAATAGACGATTGAGATTGATTTTGCTGAGTAGATTGTGGAATTAGGGTTAGTGGATTAACATGCACGGCGTCCACGGAGGAATCACCACCAGCAGAAGAAGAAGAGTTACCAATGACTTGAGAGAGTGCAGAAACCATAGCAGACATGTCTTGTTGAGATCGAGCTGATGAGTATATTGGGAATATATTACTAGTGTCTTTTTCTTCTCTTTCATTATTAGAGCCTGATCTTTTCATCTCTTCGATCTAACAAAAACATTCAAACAAGAGCTTAGCTAGCAGCCAGCTATATTACTAAAAATTAGTAAATGAGGTGAGAAAAAGGAGTGAGCTAGGAAGGAGGAGTGAAGAAGATATTAGGGTTTACTACTCTAGCTTTTTTATGAACACAATGTGAATACATACTAGTTATGTGGAAAAAAAAAATACTCTATACGGTCCAACTTTATTTTTTTTTGTTTTGGAGACTAGTACAATATTCAACTTTGTCTGCTTTCTTCTTTTGTCTTTATTTCATATGCGGCATCAGAATATATACTCATTACATTTCGATTTATATGGAGCAATTTGACTTTAATAAGCAAAATGGAATATTTTCTGAAAAACTTGTGGTCATAATATGTGGATGACTTAGAGCGTGTTTGAATTGAGTACTTATTTTAAATACTTTTGTATAGTTTGAGTAAAATAAAAAATATTTTTAAGTATTTGTTCAAATTTTTGATACATTTTTTTTTTCTTTCAAATTTTATAAAATTAGAATAAAGTTATTTGACAGTAACGTTTTACGTATTATTTTACTAAAAAAAATCAATGGCAAAAAGACAAAATCGGATGAATTAAATAGACATACAATGTTACTACCAAATTTACTGCCAAATACATTATATTAATTCGTTACTCACAGAAAATTTTTTAAGCTAAAACGTTATTAACAGTAACATGTAATTTTAAACAAGCACTAACATTTGTGGCTATAAAATTTTTCTAAGGGATAAAAAAATTAAAAGTCATGTTGAGTTCTTTTGAAATTTTATAAGCGTGTCATTTTTCTAATTAAAAAAAAATCATTACTTATTTAATTTGGAAGGGAGGGAGTATATGGTTGCATTAGCTTAGTGAATTTGAAGAAGAGAGAAAAAATTCCCAAATTTTCAATTTGATTTAGTAGTGTATTAGTTAATGGTAGAAAAAAATAATAATGAAAAAACAATAGTTTAACCAAGAGAATGTTTAAGTTCTGCTTACAGCCTTAAACATGACAGTTACAACGGATAACGGACAACTGGAAGGTAACTGTAACAGAAAGGAGATTGGAATTTGCAAGTATAAAGAGCAACGGACTTACGTTTTTTTATCAACAAAATCAATTACAAGACTATGCTGATGAAAGATATCAGCTTAATCTTCTGGGCAACATGAAGCAAAATTTTAGTCTAGAGAGATGGACATTTATATGTACAAGTCTTGTATGATCGATCACAAAGTCGGCTGTATCTTTCTGAACCGCATGTATTCCAACAATTGAGAAGGTAATTCTGCTAAAAGCGATTGAACGACTGAGACATCTCCATCTGCGAATCGAAGAAAAGGCATCACATCAAACAGATGCATAATTTTCTGAAAGCTCTTAAAGAATGTTTTGTTTGATTATCCTTTTCTATTCACCGAGAAATTTATAATATGACCTACTTTGTACATCACGGAGGGGAACAAATTGTACTATATCACGAACAGCAACTCGTCCAGTTGTAGATTCTAGCCTCTCTCCTTTATCAGCATCCAATATCTGTAAAAAGGAATCCACAATACAGTAATGTAAAATGGATGACATAAAAAGCAATGCTTGCTGAGGAAACAAGTTGTTGCACTTGCATACCTCCATTTCCTTAAAGTCTGCACCTCCAACCCAACAATTAGAATTGACAATGGCAAATCCGCTGCTTGAACAAGAGCGTCCTTTGTTTCTTGGAGATCTGTTATTACTCCATCCTGGATTTTTTCTATAATATAATCAGAACAGGAAGGCATAGGACATTCAGTTATAAAAAGAAAACGTCCTCAATGGATTAACCCCAACTCAAATTAGATAGAGTTTGATTTCCAACAAAAGCTGAAGTTTCAAGCTTCTCTACATTTTATGCATTCCAGTGAAATTTATTCATTGGAATGCAGACATATGACCGTGAAAGGATCTATGAACTATAACTCTGACTGGTATAACTCAAGACGATAACAGATGATGGTTAGCATTTCACTTGAAAGGTAAAAAAAAAAGATACTCATCAGGAAAACGGAGGAAGATATATAACATAGAAAATGAAATGTACCGTGATAATTAACAAAACGAAATACTTCCGCTCTCTGTTCGTCAAAGACTGACTTGCTATATGTGCAGCAGAAGTAATCACTGGTCCAAATAAAGTTGGACCTGCAAGTGAAACATTATGAAGGGCACTAATGTATGCCATCATGATACCCTGGATTCCTTCCACCTAGAGTTAAAAAAAGGGCTGAAATTTATAAAATGAATAAGATACAGAAAGCTAAAGCAAGTCCATAAATGTGGAAGTACATAAGGCTCTTTAGGTACCTCACAGTAAGTACTGCTACCATTTAAGTTGAAGCAATGAGAAACTGGGCCATCAATTGGCCGTGCTCCAAACCCCCAAGCAGGAAAACGTTTGTCTGAATCATAAAACTGCAATACCTCCCCAACATCCAGGATTGCCTGACATTGGGATTCTGGTAAGTATCTTACTTCATATGAAGGGAAATATCATTACAACTGAGAATATTTTCTTACTCTCTGATAAGCATTTGGTCGTCCTGAAGGGTCAATATAATGTAATGAATCAGGGAGCCGTGGATTTCCATTGGAAGCTGACAAACAATAATTCAGGCAAAAAAGAATACAGGCTCAGATACAAGTTAAGCAAGAATACAAACATTAACATACAAAACTTTCTTTTAAAGATAAGGGTAACTGCGTATTCACAAAAGGTTTATCATCAAATGATGAGCATACGCCACTTATTTTTTTCTGAATAATAATCGTCTGTGTATACATACGATACAGAAAATTATTGAGAAAATGTAATAATTTTCCAGGGTCTTTTGCATAAGAGGGGTGGGGTGGGGGGTTAGGGCAGATCAGGATGAGTTTCACATCTATAACTCTTGTTATTATTTATGGTAATAATAATAATAAGAGTTGACAGCGGAGGCATCAACCTTTGGTGTCTCAATCCAGCCCCCTGTGCATCCTAATAAGGAAGAGGTTGGAATTTGTCTAAATAAATTGTACCATTGATGAAGACGACAAATATGAATTCCATGCTTAGCTATGGAAACAAAGAAAGACTTGCGAGAATCTGTTTATATATATATGTACATATCAATGCACAACCACATACCAGTAAAGTCAATGGCCACCATGAAGTTGAGTTCATAGCCAAACGCCAAGTAATCAAGGAATGTATACTGTATTTTCTCAGAATAGCTTTCCACGAAAAGTTGACTCTTTAGAACCTGGATAGAAATCATGTGATTGTCATGATTAAATAAGCTTAGCTGGCAGTTGCGTTGTCTGATTAACGAGCTCTTTACCTTGTTTTCTTGTTTTGGTCCCATAGCAGTTGGTATAAAAAGATTTGCACTAGTACCCGCAGAATGCAACTTTTCTAAATCTAATAGTGATGTCTGAATCTTTCTGACAATCAGTAGAAATACTGTCAGCTTCCAGTCTGTAGAGGTCAGAAATGAAGAAGAGACGAAAAAGTTTACCCAATTAAACTATGCTTGCCATTGCTATTGAAGTCATAACACTCGATAATTAATGGGTTCTCCTGCATCAATTCAAATGTTTCTAAATGGAAAATCAAAGAACAAACATTGTGCCATGCATCATACCATATATAGAGTAAATGATAATTTCCTCGTGGGAAAATATATTATCAATCACATCTTTTAAAATAAATGAATTCAAAGTATAGCCCCTCAAAATCAAAACAATTAGATACTTTGATGAGTAAAGTTCGTTTGTATTGCACAGAAGGTAAGATCCCATAGACATCTACAGAATCCCATCAACACAAGATACTATTGCTAATGCAATCATAAAGTCAAAAAACGACAGCTGATTTCAAGTTTTAGAGAATAGATGGGTGAAATATTATCTGTAAGAGAACAAAGATCTGCCAAAAGTGAGTTTGGAAGTTTCATCATTTGAAGTATAAATTTATTCTTCTGCACAGAATTCATATGGAAAAATACTAGCAATGTTTTCTGAACTTGCCTAAAGGCCTAGAAAAAGGTCAGCACATTGCCCCTACAGCTCATAAGATACCTTGTTTACTTGGAATATCATATAGTTCCCGACCAAGAAAAAAAATCTTTAAATGATATTTTACCCTCTTTTTCAGGGTTCTATTATCCCAGGAAACATAACACAATCTTAAGAAAATAGAAAATTGATCACTCAAAAGAGCATTGTCTTGTACCTTACTTCCAATTTGTTGAATTTTCAAGAACACCGGTTTCCAGGTGGGTGAATGATCATTTTTCATCACTTCTGTTTTGCAAATTGGAACGACAATTCCACTTTCAGTAGTTTTGGATACCACCAGAAATGGATCCTGCCAAACACAAAAGAATTATGTATATCAGCAATTCAGCATCATATGATTCAAAATGATAATAGATAATACTATTCTGATGAGTTTTATACACTTTTTGAAAACAAATCCTTCGATTCCAATTCTGAACATCTTAATTTCAACTCGACAGTAGTCTTTGAGCTGATACTTTCTTCAGCAAAAATTGTAAGCTTGCCAAACTTCCGTGCATGTGCTTGACCAGAAAATTGTTCGCCACTTACAAGGTCCATGGTCAGGGATCTGTCAGATTTTGTGACAATCTACAAGGAAATATGTTTAGCTTTCACTTGATTAATAGAAAAAATAACCTCTCAATTACAATGACAAACTACAATGGCGAACACCAGAACTTACTTGAATCCAAAGATAGTTGGAAAGAATAGTTTTAAGCAAGTTACACAGAGATGAAATATAAATAGGTTCAGTGCTTGTAACGTTATCCGACAAAAAAATTCATAACCTCTTGAAAGATAAAGTAAATGGTACGTATGGAAAAGCAGATAGACAACACTGTAGCTACCCACCAACAGGAAATCCATATCGAATAGTGGCAAAAATGTTATTGCACCCAAGTAGGTATTGACAATTGGAC